GGAGTGCAAAGTTTAGCAGAAATAAAATAATTATGTTACTTAATTAACGCGAGATCTTCGTTTACGTCGCAGAGGAATCATCGATTTTATCGGGAAATACTGAATATTTGTAATGAGAAATATTATCGAGTAGAAACGGTTGATATCTGAATCGAACAGTTCATTTCTCGTCAAAACAAGGGACAACATTGTCGACGCTAATAACCTTGCCTGTCGATACGATTCGAAATTCGTAAATAAAAAAGATCTCTTCTAAACGCCAGAAGGGATCAATTCGTTGTTGCCATCCCCTAATTAACTCTGTGCGGGCGAAGATTTGTTGAAACAGATAAAACGTTCAGCAAATCAAGCTAAGTTATACATCAATTCGTTAATTAATAGAAAAAAAAGGAAACTACCCGCTGATCTCTTGCTGTTTGACTAATTAAATTATTTGTTCGCGACTTAGTTTTCTAAACACTTAACTGCGTTCAACAGGAAAAAAGATATTCGTTTCTCGTGTCTCGAGAATTTTGCTGTGTAAAGGCTTAAAGCTCCTGGCTGGTTGTCGCGAGTTTCTCGCGTCTCTGTCGGTTGCATGCCATGACACCATTGCACAGGCCATTGACGCTATTTAAGCGATTACTTAAAATCAATACCGGTCGTTCATATCACACCGACAGCCCGATAGAATAATTCTTATCCTAAACTCTCTGCGCCTCCGCTTTTCTGGCAGACATCAAACCGTATCCTCGTCTCTTCTCATGCTATCCTTCGAGCGATTCAACAGATCCTACGGGATATAAAAGGTGAAAGCACCAGTGGTTGACCAATGAACACTTTGACTGCCAAGTAAATAACCATAAAATCTCCCATAATCGAAACAGTTTCCTTAATAAAGCGAAAACTAGAGACAAGATTCTTCGTAACGATCACTTTACTACTTCTCTTATATCTCATGCATTAAATGAAACTTAGAAAAATATTGTTTTTCTAAAACATGTATTGTTTTATTTGTTCGTTTTATTTCGCCTTGTCCTCCGAATATGTCAAACATTTCAAAATAAATAAAACCAAAAACAAGAACAGTGACTACTTTAATATATATATATATATCTGTATTTCACATGTGAAAACAGATTGTGAGTCAATAATGAAATGTCCATTTTGCACAAAATACAATTTTTGTAAAATAGAGTAAATTAATAGAACCACTACTACAATAGTAGTCAAAATGATCTTAGTTCCCTCGTTTCACAATTGTCGCTCAAAAGTCAATACAGTTAAGTCAGTTTTTGCATATCTTCTGAGTTTTCGAAATTTTAATCGAATAACTAACATTCTTTCCAGTTATTCAAGGATTCACTCGTTTCTTCGTTTCTTTATTTCTTCTAGATCAGAAAACCTTTCTCACAGCTCCTCGATCTATTGTACAATCATTTCATAAGCCGATCCATCAATTTTCTCAATTTTTGCTTTCCAAACTCAACCGCATTAGCTTCTAAGCGACTCAATTAACATCTCCGAAGTACTAAGTATCCAAAACCATCTGAGAAGTAAATAATTTAGAATGCAACAAAGAATGCCTAAAAGAATTGAAAATAATCTGTTGCTGCAATTTTAATCAGGATCTCGTATTAATCGTGTTAAATGCTCGGAAGTTCTGGTGCCGAAGAATGAGTCTGAGTTGGATGCTTGGGAAATCTTGGGCGTGAATGAAGGGTGTTTGGGATTGATTATGAGTGGACGGTTCTGAATGCATGGGCTAGTGTGCATCGCCGAGGGTTTGCGTGAGATTTTCAATGGCCGAAGAAAAGTGCGTGCGCGAGCGTATAGGTGGGGTCTGTAAAGACCCTCGTGTATATGTACCTGCACGTTGGAAGTTTTGCGATGCAAGGGATGGGTTTGAGTCGTGCAAGATCTCAGAGTCAGTGCAAGTAATCAGAATACAATCCATAAATGGATATGTTGAAGTAAAACAGTTACTCGTAGAGAACTCCGCGTACAAAAATGTCAGGGTGCCGCCTTTACAGCCGTAATAAAGCGACCAGGACAAAACCCAGGACTTCGGAAGAAGATCATGGCATATTGAAGGTCGTGGAAAGGTTGATCATTGAGTTTTTTAGAATATAAGTGCTGAAGGTTGCTTTCTTTCCAGTAGTTCAACGTTGAACAGTCGGTGGAGCGGGACATAGAAAGTCCTGGTATATTTCTGTCAGCATTGCTTAAATATTTATAAATACATAAGCTACCTCTCCTCTTTCACTGACCCCTTGTGTTATTATTTCACGTAAATAACCTGCTTCCAACATACATCCTTAACAGTATATTATACATTCAATAATATTTTCTATTAACTCCTTGGCTTACAATATCGTGTGAGACTCGTGACGAAAATTGTAAACTGAATTTGAGAGATCTAAGTATTATTCATTTATTCTTAATATAAATTAAGTATTACTGTTCTATTATCAATCGTTAAACTTCGGAGTAAACGTAGATATAGAATAAACATCCAAATTTCTTTTCCTAGTAAATTATTAATTATTATAAAGTAGCTATGTCGATCATAGTTCAAAAACAAATTATAGGGCAAGGGGTTAAATGAAAAATAACAAAAAATAACAGAAAGTGTAACTTTCCCAAGAATTTTTGTCTGAAACTAGATTAATGAAGATATTTGCATGCTCTCTTTTAGGAGAGACACTCTGAAAAGACCCTGAAAAGGACAATTTTGGACAGTGTAACTTTATCGTAAGAATTTTTGTCTGAAACTAGAGTAATGAAAACATTTACATGCTCCCTTTTAGACGAGACACTCTGTAAAGGCCCTGAAAAGGACAATGTTGAATGGTATAACTTTATCGTAAGAATTTTTGTCTGAAACTAAAGTAATGAAGATATTTACATGTTCCCATTTAGACGAAACAGCTTGCACAATCAATTCATACTGAATGTTTCGTTGGAAAAATTCGAATCGATATATTTCACTTGCAATTACGAAATGTCTAATAAGACTTAACTGGATCGTCGCATTTTTCAAATGCAAAAGCCGTGCAACGCGACATGCCTCGACGTGTGTTCGTTACGCTCGCTAAAGCGATAGTGTTACACATTTACCTCGCAGCACATGAACAAGTGTAATCGAAGAGCGAAAACTTATCAACCCCCGGAACGTTAATTGCCCGCTACACCTGCGTTTACCGTGCGATGCTCGTTCCTGATATTTCGTATCGTATGAACTCTTATGAACTACGCGGTGAAACGATCCTCTAATAGTCCCCCGTAACGACTGTCACGATTCTTTTAATTAATCGAACAGTATGAAACAAATACTTCTAGGAAATTCATCACTAAAGTGTCTTTCACCGAAAAACCACGCGATACAAATAAATTGAATAATATTTATGTTAAATTCCATTTCAAATCTTCACTGCGAGTCTGATACGATATTGTAGGAGAAAGGGTTAATATCGTTTCGTTTTATTTGAGTGTTTAATATTCAAGTCGATATTATTTTATTTATTACTCACGATAAAGGCAGATGAACGTAATTACGAAAATGGAATTCTATTTAGCCAGTCTGTTTCAATATTTGTCATTTCTTAACGGAAATTATATTTCTTTCGTTTATTTTGATTGGACGATGATACTTGTTCAAGAATTGCAAACCAAGGATAATTGAACATTTTATAAATGGTTCACGAAGTCATTTATAAGCATAGATTTCACGTTTACTCCATGGATTTAGTAAAACCTCGTGTTTATATCATACTTCGAGTCCCTTAATGATTGATGATGATTTACAGTTCGTATAGTACGCAAAAGTTTATGAAGTTAACTTTCATGATAAGCACTATGATGAACACGATCATTTCTGATCCAAATTTCGAGTCCCTTAATGATTTTTGATAATTTACAGTTTGTATAGTATACAAAAATTTATAAAGTTAACTTTCATGATAAGCACTATGATGAACACGATTATTTCTAATCCAAATTTCGAGTTCCTTAATGATTTTTGATAATTTACAGTTCGTATAGTATGCAAAAGTTTATTTAGAGAAATTATTTATTACAATTTGTCGAGATAAAGAGGTTACTTTCACTAGGATCTTATTACAACTATCGTGTTGTCGTATTTTCTATGTGTAATATATGGAAAAATTTAATTAGATATGCTCCTATTTCATTAATGCATCTGATAAAAATAATTGTATTCGTTACGTTCTCATAAAAAGAAAGAACGGTTTAGTAACATGTAATTCTTTTGTGATAATGAAACAAAGTTGGCGATAAGTAATGAAAATTATAAAAAAATGTAGATGTAATAAGAATTATATGATACGTGAATTCAGTTGTGAAGAGTAATGATTTATCTTAACTAGACAGCGTTTGTAATCAAATCAAATAAATAGTGAGGTAAACACAATGGATAACGATAACGGTACATAATTAAAACATCAATATAAAACTGAATGTTTATTTCATTAGAAAGTATAAAATATGAAAATTGAACGATTCGAGAAAGTGTTCAATCTCCAGACAGTGAAATATTTTCATTGAAAATATTAAATCTATACTTTATCATATCAGTTAACAATGTTTCATAATCTATACAGGCTACATTATTTTATTCATGAAAAGTAACGAGAATTAGTAATTACGTTAATATCCTCCCTAAACATCAACTTCTTTATGCTGCTTCTTTCGTGCACACTACTGTTTCCGTAACTTCGTACGACTGGGAAGAGGTTATGTTATCTTCGTCCTCATTGGCAAGCATTCATCGCGGCTTTATCGACGGGCCGAATTACGTCACGAGACAATAGAGGCACAAATGAGATGTTAAGGGAGCCACAAAAATGTGAAATTATAAAACCAATACTGCACACAGTATCATTTTTCATTTTTCATATGTACGCAAATCATTTTCTTCGGGTCAGGTTGTTCACAATGTCGATCGAACACTTTCTGTCAGGAATAGTAGGCCACAAGGAAAAGAAACACGTACAACGTGGTACTGAACCGGAAATTTTTATTAAGGACCAAATTTGTTTTGTCATAATTGTTCTTTTCAAAAACAAATTCATGAACATGCGATTCCAATTACATCGAGACTGTGCTCTGAGAAATTAAAAAAAAAATAGGAAATAAAAAAAAGATCTTTCTTTCGGAGTACGGGGGTACAAACCTATCTTTATAATCGATAAATAAACATACTTTTGTTCCTGGGGGGTAAACGGACAATACCTGAATATTGTTTCCTCGCACGCTTGAGATTGTTCAATTTGTTTTCGTTATTTCTTTTTTTGTTTCTTTTCGAAAGTAATAAACATAAACCGTTTCGGCTTCACGGAGGTACATAAGAAGTTCGAGATACAAAAAAAAGAACAGAATTTGATCAACATATACGATCATACAGACAGAGAGATAGAGATCATAGGTTTGTATCGGTTTTCCTTCTATGAATACTCATGCAAGCCGTGCAATACTGCATAAGTGTTTCGTAATGCGCAACACTTATTGCTTTCGTGAATTACAAGATCTTAAACTGTAAGATATACTGTATAGAAAACATTAAAAAACAAGTGCACAGTAATGTGCGACTTGCATTTACACGAATTCATAATTTCAAATTTTTTCTGCTGTCACGGGGATAGTGAACTTTCGTTTGAATTTATCGCAGAGAATTTCTTGCTTTGTTCGTTAACCACGAAAAAGGTTCTTACGGATGCATTTCTATTGTACCGTCTACGTGGAACGATCGCCGGATTCTGTGGAAATCAACTAACATTTTGGAAAAAAATTTTTCAATGATTATCGGACGTTTACAACGACGGTACTTTTTTTTCTTTTCATGTGTGAAAGAATGTTTTTTTTGGTATATTTTTTTTTCTTTTTTTCTTTTTTTTAAATATATTTCTCGTGAGTGATTGAAGATCTTCTTTCAATGTCACGAACGAGCTGCTCATAGAAAATTTGTTGAAACTGTTCGTTTGAGACCAATGGTTCTGACTTCTTGTTTTTTACTGTCAAAATATATATTGCCTAATGTGTGTACGCAGCTCGTGGCACTGAATCAAGTCAGCGCAAATAATGGCGAAGGTTGAAACTGTCGACAGAGAATCTCGAGTTTCATGAAAGGTGTCGTGTTCCTTCGCTTGTACGAATTGAATTATTCGCATTGAAAATTTGACACAACCCTTTATGATGGTCGTAAAGGTTTTCCAAATCCAGATGTTAACACAACGCTTCCAACATTGCACTTTTACATACATAAAGGTGCCCTCACCGATTGTTTCCACATCATGGGTATTTTCATCTCCAAGATGAGGCACAGGAACTTCACTTGGAAATATATACGTATCTATGCGACAGACATGAGGGAACGCTTACAAGATTTTCATCAACAAAAATCGCTTCGGTCGTTTGCATCAACAATCTTCTATGCTGCCGGAAGTATACACGTGTATACATACATATTGTACATACATATTGCACGGATCTAACTTCCACGTACAACATGGAGGATGATGTAACCTTAAGGGTTCAAATTACTCATCAATATCAACCACAGAACGAAACAAACATATACGTATATAAATATAAGATGTATCAAAGTATGCACGCATTCGGAGAGAGTATTCAACGTTCAAAAGTGGCGAAGAAAATTCATATAAACATTTCTTTCGCTTGACTTTGGGCATTCAAGTTTTAACAATTAGCTTTCGTTGCACGCTCAATCGAATCGAGTTAAAACAGTGCGTACCTTGGGCTTGTTAAATGTATCAGAAATTCAATAAAAAATTATCTGAATGGGTACACTGGTACCAAAACGACCATGTTGGTCACTTATTTCCAACATAGAGTTCTGACATTATTAAGCTAGTTTATTTTGTAGTAAAAATCAACGAATTAAATAATGTTTACATAAACGTGTTCCATTACTTTTCCATAGTAAATTCACCTCTGAAGATGTGTTTACATGTTTTGATACATCCTATATGCATAATACCCTTCAGTCTATCCGCATAGCTTTGCATTCAGCAATTTTTCTCGCCCACCCTCTACTAGAAATTTATAATTTCATCTCACGCGCATACCATTCTTTAAAAAGAGTCAAGACGAATATGGTAACGACACTTTTCTGACACTGTTCCTAATACCTCAAACGTATGCAGTCATATACATAAGTTTGACTCATTAACACTCAGTTGTAAAACTGACAAATAAACAAACACTCGTGTGTGTGTCTGTGTGTCTGTGTATGTGTATAATATAATGCTTGATGAAGTAATCGAAGCGCGTGTTAAATGATCAGGAATGATTGTACGCGTTTTGCGTGAAAATTCGTTCAAGTTTTATGATCTTCTTCGTTGACACTTTTCTTGACTCTTTTAAAGATTGATTAAAATATACCTCACAAAATAGATTCCATGTTGGATGTAATGGTATTTCCAATGACAATTTAGTAAGACCAAGAGTATCGGTGTCCTAGTCTATAGAACTTCAGTCAAAAGAACCATGATAACTTTCACAAACATACAACACAAAAGCAAAATTTTGCGGTGAATATGCAAAGAGAGTATTTTTTTTTTCGTTTTTTTTAGAAGAAAAACATCCGAAATACTGTTCGACTTATTCACTTTACGCGTTCTCCGTATTGAGAAATCAATAAAATTCGAAAAAACAAACGATCATAATGTTACATTAGAATGGAATCATATGCGATTTCACTTTATCGAACGTATCCGATTGACGAAAAAAGAGCCACAAACAAAATGCTAAGTAATGTTTCCAGTTTTCCCAACTGTTTATAAATACAACGCTTACGTAATTATTTCCATAAATCACTGCCAATTTTCGTAACCGTTTCAGTTATCCCACTTTAGAATATTTACATCCCAATGTGAAAAAGAATGTCTCGTACATTGATTTTTTTTTCTTTATTGATAATTCGCTTCCTTCTATCGCTTCAAGCATCATCATACCCGATCCTCGCAACAATAAGATGCGTGCTTTGTGTTACGATCAGTTATTGAGACTTTTCATGTCAACACCAATTTCTGGGACACATTTCCATCAAGTTGACAGAAAAATGTGTGAATCGATTGATGTCCTTCTCTACACCTCTTGAGACGTATTTCTCATTAATGAAACATCGTACGTATCAAATTATGATTTGCGTGAATATGAAGAAAAAAACGGATTTTAATGCTTTTAATACCATAATACTAAATCACAGCGTTAATGCTCGGATCGTGGCACAAGAGAGATGTTGTCTTACGTCAGTGGTTAATAATTTGTATATCATATCATTCATGCGTAGAATAGGATTGCAACGTGTTTTGTAGAGTTGATGTTTTACCTAGTATATTATAAATATATATATATATATTTTTTTTAAATTTCACGACAGGTAAGGAATTAAAGAAAATAATTCTTTGTTCTATTCCTGATACGAACACAAGTCATTGTATAGAACTTCCACGCCAAATATTCGTAGTTATTAATATCTCGTTTGTAATATCACGCTTTCTGACTGTATTAAATATGTGTTGCTTATACAAAACATCGAATTAGAAATAAAAAATTAAAAATTGTTAGGTCAGTAAATTTTACATGCATTATGTAGAAATAAAGATTAATTCAACAGTACAATCTTTTTCTTCGCATGTAAAAACATTTCACTTTGTTTGGTTAATTTTTCATATTTGTTCTGTAGCAAAATTTCAAATACTTACACTTTCTGCTCCAGCAGTCAATATATCTTTGTCATAAGACATCTCTTCTGTTGCCATCAATCGCAAAAGCAAAATATCCGTCAAAACTGATATTATAAGACTAAAAGCATTTTAAACCCCTTTTTCATCGCTCCCATTGATATTTCTCGTTGAAATTTTTCGCTTCAAGTAAGAAATATTCTACTATTGCCTATTAATGTATACGCATTTTCGTTCCATAAACCTAAGTTGCCTTGGCTGGTGGTGTACTTGTTTGTTTACAGAATATATGAATAATGTAATAGAAACCTAACGCACTCAATTTTTGAACGCCTTTTATAGTTATTTGTATTTTGTACAATTCACATGTACACAGATATATCAAAAAGAAAAACCAAGAATAAAAAGGGATTCCATGATGTTTGAATAGTAAATTACATTTTGGCAGTTAATCCATCTGTCACAGAGAATGGTATGCTAAGCTATAATCCGTACAGTTTTCTCCTATAAATTTACATAAAACGTGTTTTAAGAGTAATAAAGAATTCTTTTTAGATGACCTTATTTACTCATAACCCGTTGAAGCATCAATTTTGTAATAGATACATAAATATTTAATAGAAATCAGACATTGAATCCCTAACATTAATAATTGCCACCAGCCAATTATTTATACAAAATAATTATATAAAACTAGTCAATTTTACAATCTCTGACGCTCAATCACAATTTCGTAACAAAAATTACGATTAAGTTAAAAAAAAAGAATGTTTTTTATTACCGCCTTACAGAAAGAAAAGATAATCTTGCTTTTTTGAAAAGTGATTTGAATTTCAGAGTTGTACGACAGCATTGACAAGTAGCAAAATCAAGCCATGATCAAATATTAAGATCAATACGATATTTAGAATTTGTGGACTGTGTATTTAAGGAAAATTTATATGCGGTTATAGAGATGCAAAAGTAATGGGCATATGGATTAATATACAATATTTGGATATTCATAAACAGCACTCACATATGAATTTTCTTTCACTCTGCTGTTTCTCCTTTAAATCACACATGCCATCACAATTTCCCTTAAAGAACAAAAGATCTTGGAAGTATGAAGCCGTTGTATAAAAATTTACTATTAAAATGATGGATACTCTTCATGTAATATTTACAAGTTGCGGTAAAATGTTATGATTATTATGTTACTCATGTATTCGTTTACATATTGTGCTCTTGATAATGGCTTGACTCTGACGCACTTTAGATTATGTACATTTATATGTGTTTATGTACAAAGAATGACTCGCACCGACATTCGCATCATCATTTCATTCACTGAGTTCACTGTTTCGTATTCAGTATATGCCTTATTTACAAGTAATTCATGTTTCCGCTGCTTACTTATGTTAATTGAAATTTTCAATTTTTTTTCTCTATATAGACCACTTTTTTTTATCTAAATGTTCATAGCACTGTTTTGTCTTTATATACTGTTAAACACACCAGACAATTCATTCCAAACTAAAGTAACATTTCACTCTGTGAGTTCAAAGCATAGCAATGTATGCCTTATACGTACGAGTCACAATCACCATTTTACACTTTAAACTCTTTGAGCGCATGTAAAACTTCATAATGACGATGTATCGAAACTACTTGGACACATTAACCTCTTCCATACTATTATTGTCTTTTGGTCTTGCTACATACAAATTTGGATCTATTACCTTTGGGATAGGTTTAATTTCTGTTCCAAGTTCTTGTTCGATACGATGCAAGTTAAAACGGTCCTCGTATGTGATTAGGTTAATTGCTATACCTAAATGGCCAAATCGTCCTGATCGGCCAATACGATGCAAGTATGTCTCTGCCATTTTTGGAAAGTCAAAATTGATTACAACGTTCACAGCTTGTACGTCAATACCACGTGTGAAGAGATCGCTGCTAACCTGTAGATATATAAAACTCATATCCATATACTTTGTTAGTTCAAATCTAAACTTATTTTTTCTTCTAAATATTGTATCAATATTCCTGTATTTACAACTTCTCAACGTATATTTGGATTTCGTATTGTTAACAAACGACAAATTATATCGCTAATATTGAATACAAGTTTTAACAAAATTAGTGGAATATTATAGTCTAAAAGTAAAAATTCTGTAAAATGTATTACACAATAATTTTGACGTAAACACATTTAAACATAAGATTTAATTGGTTCTAACAAGAGACATTCTGATATTGCTGATTTGTTATTAATTGAGAGATACAGAATAGATTTATCACAATGTAAAGGGATCGTTTTTTAAAACATCTTGTGTATGGTAATACACCACATAACATATAACAAATATACTGTAAATACTTTTTAAATCAAACACGTAATGTTTGTAAAAAATTTCTATACTTTACACTTTCCAAAAATGTCATGTGATTATATGTCACTGTAAACAATTCTAACAATACAAAAAGTGAGAAAAATAAAGAGTGTCTTATTCCCAATTAATTTCCTTATTTTTAAGGATACCAGAAAATATGTTCAAATAGGAAGAGTATTATGATACTTATTTAAAAATTTTTAGTTATACTTCTAGATGATCACTTACCAGATTTCTGCATACTCCTGCTCGAAAATCATGAAACACGCGATTTCGGTGTGCCTGCGCCATTTTCGCGTGTATGTAATAACAGCAGTACCCGAGATCTGTTATTTTTTTCGCCAATAATTCAACGCGTTGCGTCGAATTGCAGAATATTATACTTTGTGTTATTTGCAACTTAAATAATAAAAAACAAATTAGGCAATCAAGCAGTATAAGAAAGGGGTAATGCATTAAATGAAAGATAATCTGTACATACAAAATAACCTTACCTTGGAAAACAGCGTATTAAGGCAATGAACTTTTTGTCGTTCTTGTACAAAGGCGTAATATTGTGTTACACCTTTCAATGTGAGTTCCTCCATTAAATTAATCTCGTATGGATCTCTTAAGTGTTTCTCCATGAATTGTTTGACCGTCAAGGGAAATGTGGCTGAATACAACAATATCTGACGTTCATGTGGCAATCTAAACATTGAGAATCAAAATAAAATCTGTAAAAGACTTGTAAATTCTAATACATTTTGTGTACACTAACACTGTAAACATTTACCTAGAAATCACATGATCCAACATTCCTTTAAAATCTTGTGATAGAAGCTTATCTGCTTCATCCAAAACTAGAATTTTACAATGATCCATGTGTGCAACACTCTTGTCCATTAGATCGAGAATTCTTCCTGGCGTTGCAATTATTACTTGCGCTGAAACCAAATATAACATAATTGAAAACTCAATGTTAAGTTACATAATTTATTAAGTTAATCATTTAACAAGTAACTCTAATTACTTGTCATTAGAAAATAATTCTGAAATTCAAAACAGTATTCTTCATAAAAAAGCAATACAGACCTTTCTGATAAATCCTCATAATATCATCCCGCAAGTTTGTTCCTCCAGTAGATACCATTATCTTTATATCCATATGTTTTGCCAGTTGCATACAGATTTGTGATGTCTGAAGAGCTAACTCTCTAGTGGGTACAATTACCAATGCCTGGATCACACCTTTTTGTGGATCAACCTAAAATAATAGATATTGGGAGCAATTAATACGAGGAAACATGAAAATGAAAATATATATGGAAAATTTTAAATGAAACATTATTAACTGAATTTGCAAACAATGTACCTGTTCTAGCACTGGAATTGAGTAGGCCCCAGTTTTACCAGTCCCATTCTTTGCACGAGCCAAGATATCCTTACCGGACAATGCAATGGGAATACTGGCTTCTTGAATGGGAGAAGGCTTTTCCCAGCCTTTTTCAAAAATTCCCATCAATAATTCTCGCTTTAGGCAAAACTCCTCAAATTCATTGCCACGAGTATCAGTAACATCCTACAAATTATTAATGTTTCTGTAACCGCCTCTTTGAAGCAATTATAAAAATATAATGCAAATTTATGACATATTTATAGAACTATGTGTCATAATATTTTTATTAAAATCTTTATTCTGTATACTATGATAAATGTAAACCACTTTTGCAATTTACTGTAAGAATTAATACTATATGTATCTTAAATTCCACATTTCTTTCTCTTTGTGCTAATAATTATTTCTATGATTTAAAAGAATTATAAATGATTTTATAAAGATATAATAAGTATAATGTATATCAACCGACAATCCATGTAATGTTAATTGAAAATTATATGAATGTGATATTTCATTGAACACATATTAACAACAAAATTACTTTGAAAAATAATAGAACATTTAACTTACACTAGTTTTAATTCGTTTGTCCTTTGGTGGAATTTTTAATTTGGCTTTCCAACCTACATCGTCCATTTTGTCTATTTCCGATTTGGATGTCAAACCAGAATTCAAGACGTGATTGGAATTTATATGTGCTTCTGTCATCATTTTGAAAATGATGAAATATTTTACTTCCTAGAAATAAATTTCAATTTACAAGTGAGTTATAAATGTTCGATACTTTAAACATTTCTTACACTGCTCAACAATTCTATTACACATAGTTTTTTAAATAAATCTTTTATTACAAAAATTAAGTGTCTAAGAACTATTATATAATTTACCTAATAAGCCGAAAGAACCAGAAATTTGAATTTGCAAGTATCACATACAAGTTCTATACCTAAGTACTTATAAGACAAAAGGCAAGCAGCAAACTCGAGTGACCTACTGGAAAGACCACAACAGGATGTAAACATTATATGTTCTCTCATTGGAACAGTACTAGTTTTTATATACTACTGCTTAGAAGGAGATATAGGAATTCTTGTTATTATCATTAACTCATGTTCCTCATAAAAAATTTGAAATATGAAAAGCCTTCAACTCCAATAATTGACTATATATATGTATATATATATAAAATATATATATATATATATTTAAATATATATATACATAATTATTTATTTATTTATAAATATACCATATTAAGTAAATGAATAAATAATTATATATAATACTTCTAATTATAATAAAGTCGGACATACTACATAACACATTAATAATTACAATACATACAATTAAATTCTTAAAGAAATCTTACGGTCGCAAAACCGTTTATTTGAACAATATACGGTAGTTCAATCAATAAAACACTCACCCCATAATGTAACCGTTATAATATATTTCGTAATCTTTACGTAATTTCCAATTGAAATGGGGAATCATAAGATTTCACCGTTAACTTTTAAAATAAGGAAAACGTGTAAACGAAGCGTGGGCATGTTGCAACCATACTTGGGAAAATCGTAAGTATTTAGAAAATTCGCGTAAGATATTTGCAATATTTTTAATTCGTATACGCGTAAAAATACCGTGGGATCCGTTTTACTACGAAGTAATAATAATTTGATTGAAATAATGCGATACAGCTCGAAGGTGTTAACAATGTTCCATAATAGGGCATCAATTTTAAAACATAGCAGTGTTACTATCAGACACACATACCAGATGAAAAACAGAACAGTAAAGTACAACCGTCCGTACGAAATTAATTCTCGCGTTTATACGCCGGAATGAAATCTTTTCGAATGAATATATACCCGAGAACTGAGTGTTCGGGTATTATAAATGCATAATCATTCGTTCACCGAAATATCCACAACTACAAAGCTACTTACCTTGAAATGGATGGATATCGATGCTGAGCTGAGCACTCGATTAGGAAACAACACGCCAAAATGGCCGTTCCAATGTCAAGTTTTCTCTACAGTGCTTAACTGCTGTATTTGTTTTACGAAGCACTAACACGGATTACCAGCTTGGAAAGCGTATCGCGTAACACGCGGCACTATACAACGTTCTTTTCCGTTTGTAATATCAGATTAACGCACTGCGTCAAATGCGAGCGATAATTACTCTTCGTTGAACGTACACGACATGCGCCATGAAAGAATAAAAACACTCAGACCAGAAACCGTTACGTCGTCGCGCGCACTCTGTAGATAATAACGACCAATTGCGTGGCAAAGCTTTAAGACGCATTCTCAAATCCCCCTCTCTCATATTGTCCAAATCAAACGCTACCTGTGCTTACCGTTACACCGAAATTTCAAATTAATATTGTTACCATTGAAACGACGGAAATAAAACAACTGTGCGATTATCGTGTATTGAACAGATCTTTACTTTGAGAATGCGCCCGAAGAAGCAGGTGCGAAAGAAATTCTATAAAAATAACGGGACCTAGCTTTTATTCAAATGATTTATGTTTTTACGATTAAAGATTTCTTACGTCGAAAATTCTCATGTATTTTTTCCATGAAAAGAATACCTTAAACTTAGAGTAAATGTTTTATGGATTAATAATGTTGTATGAATTCATTGTTAGAAATATAACAAGAGTTTTGTTCTTATATATATATATATATATATTATATATATCTAAATTTTATTACACAGTAGCACAGAATTTTATTTGGAACAGTAACATAGTGACAATTTGCATTTGAATTTTATGATACTGAAAAAGAAAATATATGAAATATATTAGACGCTCCTACATACGAAACGTTTCTATATAAAATATGTATATATTAGAGGCATAAAATATTCTAGTTAGATACAATTCTGTTCCCTCCTTTGAGATATCCTATATTTCCTACAAGCTTCGGGGCAATGTCGTTCTAAATAACGCCGTTGAGAGAATGCTTTAAAACACTCTCCGCATCGCCATTGCCATTGATGGTGATTTCGTGTCCTTTGATGTGCACGTAAATTCGATCTACAAAATATATACATCATACGATAAACTTTGTTTAGGCAAAATCAAATATCTATATATACAGAAAATATATATATAATTTAGAGATGAATAATCAGTAAAATAATTTACCGTATAAAATATCCACGTTAGTGTTTTATATATGAATCTTATGATTGTAAAAATAATAGAATAACTTATAAGTACTACCATGAAACACTAAATTAATTGATATCACCACCCAAAAAATTGGGTTTCAACAATGTTTCTCGACACCCTTGTTATCAAGGGAGCAACCGTTGCAATAAGGGGAAACGGTGGTTGGCGTTGAAGATCACTGGTGGCGCGTCTATTGCGAAATTGATCACGTCATGCGATAATATTTAATTAAATTTCGCCTGAAATTCTTAGTTTTTCAAATTCAAGCATACCCAAAGTAATTCTATTTTTATTTTTCACTTATCTTCGCGCTACTTTTATAAATTGATTTAATTTGTTGTAACCAAATATAATGGTATATAAAATAATTCCCGTAGCAATAATCGATTAGTTGTTAATTGTAATTGCTTATTTTATTTCGTGTAGCCCTATATCAGAGAATTAGGATAATATCATCCAATGTCCTACTAAAATTGTTTAACCTAATTTAATAATTGAATTTTTAAAACATTCAATAACATATAATACGTCAATCTTTTGTTATTCGAATAATTAAATTACTCATTTGTATTCTTTATTCTTGTTGTCATCGAAATGACGGTATTCGTCTCCAAAGAGTCATTCCCCAGCCGAATAATAACGCGTCAAAAACATGGCGAAGATTTTAAACAGAATTTAACCAGCGTAAACATTACTCAATTCATTTGGTAATTCAAATTAAATATGAAACTTTCGTTATCACTTATACTTCAATGCAAATACAGACATATATAGAGTACCCTTGGAATGTCTCTCTTTCTAAATAAATTATTAATAACAAAGTAGTTGATTGACCCATTCCTAAATTCCTCTGTTCCAATTATTAAAAAGATAACAGATGCTTCTCTACGAAATTACTAAAGAAATTAATTCAGCAATGCCCAAATTGAATCATAAATCAATTGAAATCTCAATATCTGCATTCTTAGTCCCTACAGAAAAATCTGAAAATGTCAGTATACCATCGAAAATTTCGGTTACATCTTCCTCATAAAGTGCACTGATTTTTTCAATGATAAATTAAATTACATTGAATCTTTTACTGACTCTTAATATATTTTCATATTATTTCTTTACGTTTTTATTGTTTCGTGTACCATTCTTTGACGCGTCTCACAAAAATTTTACCATAAATGGTACACGTGGCATGGAACGCATCAACACGTCGAATGCCGCGCGATTTCACAAAGCAAAATACACAAGATGGAAAAAATCTAATATTAACTCACTTAATTGAATTGCGTTATTATTGCACGTTGCTTTAGTTGAATATCACCACATTAGATACCATTATTTATAATATAGAAATGTTTCCAAATAATAATCCTTTAATTGAGTGAACTATGGCAACTCGATTTGGTTGGAGGTCACCGGTGACCCCATGGCATTCAACGTGTTAATAAGCATTCTTCAAAATGTTTCGTACAGGAAATGTCAAGCAGTAAGGAAAATATTAAATGAAACAGGGATATGTACCGGTCGGCGAAAGATTTATGGCACACTGGACACTCGAAAGGCCGTTCGCCTGTGTGGAGCCGCAGATGTCCCTTTAACACCCAAGGACGATCGAAACACTTCCGACAAAAGGGACAGTAATGCATTGTTTTGTTTCGCTTCCAGTTCTGCGTGTTCTCAATGCCAGTTGTTTTCATGTTACTCCCCAAATGCTGATTCTGCGAGAGGTCGATCGGTTTTTTCGGCGTCAAATACGTTTTAGACTGCTGCTGCCCTTCAGTGCCGTTAAACGGTTCGTTCAAATTCACTGCTGCCTTGATTTTATTGTCAACAGCGTTTATTGGATACTCTAACGTTTTTGCGTTGGACGATAACGATATTTGCACTTTCTCTAGCTTTCGTTCATTGCTGGTATTTATAACAGGCAAATCGGTATTAATCGAAATGTTGGTCGAACTCGATTGTAGGGTCTTCTCGATTTCTGAGAAACTCGTGCCCCCCGACTCGACGCTACTGGCCAATTCTTTGTTCCATATCATATTGTTCTCTTTGTTGAAGCTGTACCGTGTCACGATCGGCAAGTTCGAGGAGGTCCAAATGTTATTGCACTTCGAATTGTCTTTGGTCTGGTGTTTCTGTTTGGCGTCGATTGAAGAAGGTGGGATCCATGGGATTTCAGTTTCTGTGTATAGTATTATACATATGTAAAAACATTTCGATGTTTATTTTTCTGTACCGTCTCGTGTGACGGTTAGGCTAAACGTAACGATTACAGGGAATTCGACGTTGAACGTTCAGTTGGAAAAATTGAATGGTTTTCGCGTGTGCAACAATAAGGAGACGGAGTTGTTCGTAGGATACTCTCCCATAACCATGTAGAAATTTCACTGTCGTTACTTTGGCGCACTGTACTTTACGTTTGGGAGCAGTTAAAGGATGATTTAATTGGCGTCTTACCTTCTGAGGCATTATTAGTTTTCCTGTATCTTCTCATCGATTTGATCAAGCACCGGGGCATGGTTTTTGTTACAGGGAAATGAACACAGAACTTGATGGAAAAAATAAAGGGAGGAGTAAGTAGTTTTTCGTTACAAAAGCGACGGTACAAACCACTGTCACATATAGGCACGAGGCATTTGTTTTTTCGTAGCCCAGTAGTGTAACGCTTAAAAAATCACCCTTGCCATAAATGGAATAATTTATTTATAAATATAAGGATTAATCAATGTATTGTTTGGAAGATTTTGTCAATATAAATTACTTTCATAATCTCTGGTTATAATACATTGTTATTTTCTTAAAATACATTTCATAAACTCATGAATAAATAAATAAATAAGTATTGTATTGAATCAATCAAAACGACAACTATAGCAATACATTTACAGAATATGTTCATAGAATAGTTAATATTACATTCCACTGTATTAAATTGTTTATAATAAGGAGTGATATCAGGCAACGAATAAATAATAATATTTTTATATTTTCAGAAGAAGTCTATTGTATGTAAAAGTTTGTTGTTAAATAAAAGTATTAATACCCATAGTGTGTTAAAACCTTATTCATCTTCATTGTTTAACACGTTGAATGCCGCAAAATATAATATTCAACCATCCGATTGAATTGTGTTATATTACTGCACGTTTATCTAGCTGAATGTCAGCTCGTTAGATATCGACGATTTTCTGGGTCAATCATGGATAATCATGGTCCCTTCGAATGAAAACGTATCAGATTAGTGTGTATACAATTTTATTTTCCATGAAAGCGTTAACAATTATTGAAAAGGTACAGATATTTCCGCGAAAAATTATTAACGAAACTAATTCGGTAATAGCAAAACTGAGATATACAAGTCAATTGAAACCTTAATAAAATGCACGCTTATGGTTATTAGAAAGAAGTTTGTAGAAATCAGTTTAAATGATCAGTAGTTCCAGTGTTAAGGATATTAACACTAGAACTCCCAAATTGGTTAAAATGACCCATTCCCTAATTCTTCTCCTGTAATTATTGAAAAGGAACAGATGCTTCTTAGGGAAATGGGTAATGAAATTTATTTGAAAATACGCAAACTAAATTATAAACCGATTGAAATCTCAACAGGCACAATATTGGAGTTTCTATAGGAAAATTCGAAAATCTAATTGAATTACTCGGTAGTTTTAGTGTTAACGAATGGTCGTGAGATAATAAAATTCTTCTGATTTCTACGGTGTATCCTCGTTCTAGTCTCATTTGTTTTCGATTATAATTTCTAACAGGCCGACCGAATTTGAATTCAACGTACTAAATGACTTATAGCATGGTCGAACATATTTATACGATTGTATACATTTCTTATAACGTATTTGCAGATTACTACTGATTTCCTGCCGAAGTTGCGGCAATTAACAAACTTGCGACATATTGGCCTTATATATAATTGTTTTTCAATTAATGCAAATGAAGTTCCATGGAGCTTTAGTTTATAAATTTGTTTTTGGTATATGTTTAGAATATTGTTAAAGTATGACTATTATCAATTGTATTCTCTAACTTTGATAATTTGTAAAAATTGATTACAGAAAGATACGTTACAATATCCTTTACGTTTAAAGTTTAGTTTCATTTGCGACATGAATAGTATTTTATAAATGATCAAGTATCTATGTGTATAATACAATATTATATGTATTAACAATACGAAATCGAGAATGTTCGTATTATCTATGATATAAACTCAATTTTATACATCATTTTACACTTTAATAAACATTATTCTTAATGCTCTTTTATAATATTTTCTATTTGTTTGTAATGGATAATATTTATTTAGAAAAACTACACGATTCACTACATAAATTACTTATATAATTATAAATAGAAATTTGTTTCACGATATGATTAATATAGGTCTTGTCCATGTACGAAAATAATCGATCCTAAAAACGTAAAATAATTATATAAATACAAAATACTTTATCAATACATGTACACATGGAACAATTGAATTGCATCAAATAGTATTCAACGATTATTAAATTCTTACTAACAGAATTGCATATATTTTGTTATTCATTTTAAATTGTGTATTATTGCAGAGTTTTATTATGTTTTACAAATAAATCAATTAAATTGCTGAGATTATTTGTTAATTACTAAATTACGTGAGATGTCTATATGCTATACCTATACCTAGTGCTATGGAGAAACATTATCATGTATCTGAGAAGTATTTATATCACATTCTGAATTGTACTACCTTGTCTATGGTAATATACATTTACATTCGTGGGAACAGCCTCTTCTATAATTTAGCTGCGCTACCTGTATCAGCCTTTAGTACCTCCGCAGCAGTCGTAGTGGTACCAGAGATCCAACAATTTCCATACAACACCAACGTCCCATACATATTGTCGAAGAAGGTATATTAACTTATATATGAGTGTATCAAACATTTCCTTCTGTACTCGTAACGATCATAAGAATATTAATTCTGCGAATTAAAGTGAAGAATTAAAGTTTATTTTTATTGAAATAGAAATGAATTTTTAAACTGAAGTATTAAAATGAAAACTGAGGAATTGGAATTAATTAAAATTAAGTTTAGAATGATCATTCGAAAATTTTAGAAGAATTTTAGAAGAATTAGAATTAAGATTGAAATTAAAATTAAAATTAAAATATTTTCTATATGAAACAGGAATCAGATTAGTCTAAGATTACTAATAATTGCTTATGCGAAACGTGTATAGCACAATTAAAACAGGGAAACTGCAAATAAGAGAAGATCAGATTTTGAATTGTTAATTAAATTCTGACGCAATTGCGATTTATTCCAAAACGACTGGTTCCAATGTGTCGATTGTATAATCTTTCACACGATTCTACTAATTACGTTCGCGGTCTCTTAGATTACAATTCAACGATCGTAAAATCACAAGTATTCACTAATAAATGAATTTATTGCAGATTATGTTTCGAAATTTGTTCCTTCTTCTTGTTTTGAATGTTATTTGCAATCACATCGATTCTACAGGTAATCCAATTACATTTGGCTTAATATTGTCGCATTAATTAAATGCATTGGTCCCCGTTGTCATACCATTTTGTTTATTTTTCGGATTTTCAAGTTATTCATTGCACATTACCAACATTTTTCCAATGCAAAAATTGGAAATGCATTTCATCGAAATTTACATGTGATGGAAACAATGATTGTGGTGACAACTCCGATGAAGAAGGCTGCTTTGATATTGTAGTAAGTGTAATTACTATGTAACATTCTACTTAGCGTCAATTTAATTAATTTAACATTAATTATTCAAAGAACAAGCATCTTCATATGCCAGATAGTACCGGAAGTTAATTCATTCCATTTATTCACTTTACAAAAGTCAATTTTGGCAAACTTGAAACCTGCTGTGTCAGTAAAATGATCTTATTTCAACGCAATCAAAAGACAAATACTGAATTTTCGTTATGTTAGTTATAATATTTAACTCGTGCATACTTGAAGAATTGTTAAATTTATTATTAAAATCTATTTGATACTATACGTAATCCATAAAATTAACACTACGATATCTCTTTCTAATATCTTCATGTCTGTAGTAAAATGATAGTCATCAATGTAAGTTTCGTATAACTTAGCACCGCTTTTAATGGCTTAACGACTTCTTTTCATTGCAAACTTAATTAATCGAATTAATTAAATGTTGAGAATCAAAAATAATTAAGGTACCAGAATTTTCGATTCCCTTCATATTTCTCATGCATTTAATAATGCTCGATTAAAATAAATATATTTAACCTCCTGTTTTTATCAGGAAGGATCTCGTAATATTCGGGTTACCACGATTCACGATTTACAATGTGCCACGGACGAATATCAATGTCTCGATCAATCTTGCATACCGAGTGAAAAGTTTTGTGATGCCAGATTGGACTGTGCTGACGGGACCGACGAATAT